GTTGCAACCTGCGACCGCCAATCACTTTATGTTCCAGAAAGGCGTCCATTATTTTTTCGGGGATTTTCTCTGAACCACCGACAACCTGTTTCAGGAGAGCACCCAAGGTACTGGCCGCAGACTGCTCCTTTCGGGCCGCGAAATCGAAGTAAAAGTATGCCACGGCGATATTTTCCTTCCGAGCCTCATCACACAAGCTATCTATTACTAGCGAACTGGAATTTCGGCCTGCTAGAAAAACTCTCCTGCATCGCCTTCCTCCCTCCAATATCAGGTCTCCTACCTAACGTATGTTTTGCCAGCCCCTGGATCGCCGTGGCAAAATATAACCGCCTTCCCTGATCCACCCTGACCACCACCATGACCACTGCGCCAGCTTCGGAATTGGTCTGTCCGCAGAACCCAGTCGCCCACATTCTCGACCCGGAGCATTTGATTACCATGATGCCGCAAGTTGGGCTCGAGAGGAGACAACCAAGTTAGGATCTTGGACCTGTCATCGGTGACGGTAATGTTATTGATATTTGTGTTGAAGCAGCGGTTATTACCGTTGAGAGAGTTGGTGTTGTGATTTAGCGAGCTAGCTGTATTAAAAGAGTTGTTATTATATCCCGAAAAACCAAGATTGTACAGGAACGTGGTGATGAAACTCAAATCTTGGAACATTTTTCCGTTCTTCGCTCTCCGGGGCGCTGCAGCGGATGGGTTCATGCAGTCCGGTATCGTATGTTTAGTGATGAAATTCCAGGGGAGCCGAAGCAAAGTGGGGTTTATCAGGATCGCCCATCCTTGTTGAAGGACTTGGCCCTATCATCCCGCTATTGGCCAGAGCAAGGTGGCTGGCAGGAGTGGCCACTCCGAGCCCCCTGGGTCACGGGCTCGCAAATTTGCTTGTATGATGCCAGCTGGATGACAGCAGCAGTCTTCTCCACCCCCGGCCAACCTTGGGGGACACAGTGCCTAGAATGATAAACTGCTTGAGCAACCACGACAGGTGAACCACCTTCGCAAAAACAGGACTACCTCTTGGCGACAGGGATATCATTTCACCAATGAAAACACTCTATGACACTGCGATATGACCACGTGTATCCAAAAATTGGATAATCATTCCGTTTGCCAAGATTGCAGGTTACGACGATTAATTACAAAGGCCATTGCCCCAAGGTTGTAATTCTTATCATCAATACATTTCGGTCCAGGGAAAATTTGGGGCTTATCATAGAAAAAGATAGCCCAAGAGCTCAAGGCAACCTCGCGCAGACAACCCGATCAAGTAAACAGCACGCTGTGTGGTTGGAGATCCTCTCCTCTAGAAGGGGGGCGAAAAACAGAGCCCTTTTGCTCTCCAGAATACAAAATTGTTAGACACTGCCGGGAGCGGAAAGTCCAACGTCATATGGTAGCACACTGCTCAATCACCGTATTCTCGAGTACGAAGCTCCCCCAATCACCCGTTCTCGTGCGGACAATTTAGACTATCGGCAGAAACTCCCCCAACAATCATTGACGCAAGGGCTCCGCCACAAACGAACCCAGCCCTTGAGGGCGCCACAACCTCCAACCTAGCCAAGAATGTGGTCACCCAAGCCCGGGTAACCATCCCGCACCATCCACTCCCATTGATGACTAACCACCCATCATCCGCCGGAATTGAAGAAAAAACCCGAATAACCTCGGTCTAACGTTCTCATCCCATCCCATCACATCGTCATCCAAGTACAAACATGTCTTGTCCGCTGATAACTCCATCCGCTTCTATCCACACCTCCCATTCGCTCCGCTCCCTCGACCACAAAACAACGTAAGACGGAGAGACCGACACCAAAACCACAACCATGTCAAAAAAATTCACCCTCACCGACGTCGCCGCTCACAAAGACACCGAGAACGGGCTTTACATCGTTATCGACGAGGGGGTTTATGACGTTACTAGTATATTTCCTGTCACCCCCTCCAAACTGCTCTACCCTAGAATTGGACGGGGGGGGACTGATGATTGGATTTGAATGGAAGACTTTGTCGATGAGCACCCCGGTGGAGCGAAAATTCTGAAGCGCGTTGCTGGGAAGGATGCTAGTAAGCAGTTTTGGAAGGTGCGGTTTTTTCTCCTACGGATGTGATGAGGGAGGGGCGGGGCTGATCCGTCGTGGTGGGGTGCAGTATCACAACGAAGGAGTTCTGAAAAAGTACTCGGAGAAACTTAGGATTGGGAGTGTGGAGGAGAAGGCGAAGCTATAGAGGGATACTATAATAACCCACCCCCACCTCCGATTGTTTTACGATACAAGTTGTATGGTACAGTACGAGCGTTTCCATTCCAAGGTTTACGGGAAGGTCTGATGTACACTACTATGATAATATAATAATCCATTGCCCCCTATTCCATTGCCCCCTACCCACCTTCAAGCATATACAAACATCTCCTTCACGGGGCCAATAGATGTCCTGTCTATAATAGGTGGAATATCGGATATCTCCCCACCAATCTTCCATCTTTGTCTCCCCAATTTTCTCCCGGGATAACATAGTAATTGGTGAGGAGAGACATTCCACATCACGTGCATGCGAGAAGCAAGCGCGTGAATGATAGCGCGCAGTCGGTATCATTAAACAGGACCACCTCAGTATACACTCTGCTCGGAAGCTTTCCACGATCAGGCGTGTTTGTCGTTGGTGGAAGATTGATGACTGCAGTTACCTCCTACTATTCAATCTAGCCCTTGCGAAATTCGGGAGGGTCGGATTTTATTCCAAGGAGGACATCTTTGGGACGTCGTGTGGTAGCCGGGTCGAGCAAACCCTTCCCGGGCAAGCATACATGTTATGGTAGCACGCGGGGATCAGCGATGAGTTATCTATGTCCAAGAACTACACTACACAAATACAGACCCTCAATGACCAAGCCATACAGAGCCCCCCCCCCAGACATTGCTCTTCCTCCTCCCCTCACTCACTGCAACAAAAGCCCCCTATAAGAACCACCCAACCACTCTCCAGGCATAAACAGTACATAGCTAACTCTTCTCAACCCCCGTACGCAAGAATAACAACCATCCAACACCCCCCCCCAACTTGCCTATACCCCGCCACGTCCGATGTTTGTCGGGAAACAGTTGAGCCACACTCATCCACTTTTACGAGAGCACAACCCCGCACTATAGAGGTAATTACCACCCTGAAATAGAACAACGGCTCCACCAAGATCCGTATACTCGCGACCCCGGAAAATTCTTTTGCACCCTTTCCGAGTGATTGTTTGTGAACTCGCTACAACTCCACCCCCCGAGAGCAATGCCCCTGGCCTCCGAGTTCACCGCTTCCCGTTAGAGCACCCATGAGGCGCGTGCTTGCGGATAGTTTTCGCGTCCTTGCCACCAGGTATTGGGCAGTAATGTTATAATAGCCCCGGTTTAGAGGTTGTCCTTCTCACCATCGTAGCGGCTATCCCGCGACGATTGTTGAGCCCACGGTACGGGGGTGCCTGATAGCTTCCCGAGGTGATGGTGAATTATTATTATTTCCAGTCGAGTCCCTATTATCTTGGCCCTCCCCCCTGCGTTCCACCCATTACTCACTCGTTTGTGGAGGTCGGTTTGGTTCCGGAGGCGATTGAAGATGTACTGTAATATTCGTGTCTGTTCTTTGCTATTACTCGTATAGTATCTATCGAGCGTCTAGCTTGTTGTCTTCTCGTGTTCTCCTGCAGTATAATATAATTAGTCCATAGATACTAAATTTCTATATGAAAGCTATCCCCCTCCCCCTCCCCCTCCCCTCCCGAGCTCGATATCGTGAGAACCGGAATGCCATTCAAACACTACAGTACTCCCCGCACCACTTCTCGGAAAACACTCCTGGACTGTGTGTAAAAAAATAAAATTGGGAAGCATGATACTGTACTGCACAGTATCCTACCCAACAGTGTACCGTAGAAAGCGTGAGCCCCCCCCTCCCCCCCGGTGGCCCTCCGGAGTAACTTGCTGCAAGTCCACCCACGGTTGATCTACGGTACCGTATACCCATTAATAAATAATGAGGTAACGGTAGTAGTCCAAAAAGTATCCCTCCCCCGCAAGGCTCCATAGGGTAGGCACGATATAGATACGAAACGGAAGAAGAAACAAGGCACGATGATCTCACGAGGATAAATCATGGTGGCAGGACCATCACATCGGAGCACCACACCGCTTAGATAATCTCCACCGTCGTCCGAGGACAAAACTCACGAAAGTATGATGTGATTATCTGCAGTGAAAAGCCAAACCACCATGCCCCCTTTAAACACCTTTTTTTTAAAAAAAAAAAACACGGTACGGACACGTGTATACATCGATATGGCGCTAATAAGAAAGTTCCGCCAGCGTGCAACTAACCGCACTGTTGTACTGCACTAGATAGTACTCACGTGCGGCAGCATAGCGGACTTAGACAAGTATTCCCGTGCAAAATGTCCTATCCTGGGACGGGATATATATCACTATTTCCCCATCCATCCATCCATCCATCCATCTCGTACCCCGCTACGATAACGTTACCATTTGGAAGATTACAAGACTTTCGTCTTTCCTACTTAATTACGCTACTCAGCTCCCTTCCCACCGCCGTTTGGTAATCCTGGTGATTCAGTTGTGCTATTCAAAATCTGCGATGGTTTTTCTCACCGTGCTGTATCGTACAGGCTGTACTGCACTGTGCTTTGATACCGTGATTCACTAAGCGCTGTCTGCCGGAATGGTGGAACACGGTACGGTACTGGTGGCTGAACTCGGCGATATCATAGGATGTTGGGGTTTCCTCTTCTGGTAAGGAACCGCTGTGTTTCTGCCCCTATGGTACCGGTGTTTGTCTTAGCGGAGGTCTGGAAGGTGGTTTTTTCACCTCTTTGGTGGGATCCCAGCCCTGTATCCGCCCTTATCCAAAGAGGGGAATTCTGGACGTTATCATCGTAATGTCTAGCGCAGAGCCCAGCTACCGGTGGGAAGTAACACACTCATAAATAATCACTCGATCTGCTCCATTCCGAGGCTAAACTGCTTGAGAAAAGTGCGCAAATTGGTAAAACGATAAGACGGGGTAAAAGGAAAAGAAAAAAAGAAAAAAAGTTATAACTACACTTCCCGGCAGCCCAACCAACAATCTATCATAATATTAATTTGCCCGGTATGAATAATCAGGAAAAAAGGGTTTCTTGAGAAATCAACAAAATCAAATGATCCTACAGCTCGTCCTTCCCAGCGTGCAAATCAACACCGCTCTTCTTCCTCCACTTTTCAAAGACGGCGTTGATATCCTTCCTCATTCCACTCTCCATCTGATCCGGCAGGATGACGACGTACTCTACCAGGAGGTTGCCGTGCTCATCGCCGCTTTCGCTGCGGAATATTGGCATTCCTTCGTTGGGGACAATTTCTACGAAGCCGGGTTGGATTGTTTGGCCTTTCTTTCTGGTGAGCTTGACTTTGTGGCCGTCGAGGTGGACCAATTCCCTAGTCCAGCCGCCGAGTAGGGCCTCTCGGAGGGAGAGGACTTCCTTCCAGAATAGGTCCTTCCCACGCCTGCGGAACCAGGTTCCATCCGGTGGGCCGTTGTAATTATACTTCTCATCCTCCTCTTCAAAGTTGTCGTCGGCCCCCTTCTCATCAACATGAACGATCAAGTCTCCGGCCTCCCATTCAGGACTTTCGTCCGCCTCGTTTTCAAAACTGATGCGAATACCCTTCGGCGAGCCCTTCTCGACGTGTAGCGAGTGGGTAGCAGCCTTCTTGACAACCTTATTCCCGTTGCAGACCTTGCAAGGGTGGCTAATAATCTTTCCCTTACCACCACACCTTTCGCAGACAGTCTGCACCTGCTGGAAAATCCCGGGCGCGAGCATGTGCTTGATGATACGCACCCCGTGCCCACCACACTCGTTGCAGGATTCCATGTGCCCGTCATGAGATCCCGTCCCCTCGCACTCCTCGCAGATCATCTGCTTCTCAACCGTGAACTCCTTCTCCGCGCCATTGTAGAAATCGCGCAGAGGGAGGTGCACCTTGACCTCCATGTTCGGACCCTTGCGCATGCCCCGATCACCCTGGTGGTAGTGTCCGCCGCCGCCGAAGAATCGGGAAAATAGATCGAATGGGTCGTGGTGCCCTCCGCCTCCTCCACCATTTTGTCGCTTCTTGAGTCCCTCCGCACCGTACTGGTCGTATATTTGGCGGGATTCGGGATCAGCGAGGGCCTCGTATGCTTCGGCTACTTCAACGAACTTTTGTTTTGCCGTCTCGTCGCCACTGTATGGTTACCGTTAGAAGCTAGGAAGGACGGGCGAAAAAAATGTGATGGGTTACTAACGGGTTCTTATCGGGATGGTATTTCTTCGACAGTTTTCGGTAGGCTCGTTTGATATCCCTATCCGAGGCTTTCCGGTCTATGTCCAGTAACTGCAGGGAGAAATTCCAATAGTTAGCCGACACTTGATCCCTTTGTCGCAGGCTCTTTGGGGGAGAGAATCCGACCTTGTAATAATCCTGCGCCATTACCGCCGGCAGCAGCAGCAGGAAAAGTGCTCTAAAAAGAAGCATTATGGAAAGAGAAGAGACGTTTCACGCCGCTGAACCCAAGAATTCGATGAATGAGCGACGGGCGATATGGTATCGGAGCCCGGGCGAAGGGGATGGATGGGCGGAAGGAAGGAGGAGGGAGGGGGGAAAAGCGAAAGGAGTCGCGTAACCAGAGACTTGGAAAGAGTGATTGTTTGGAAGATTTCGGTATCGACCAGTCAACTTTCGAGGTTGAGGCGACGAAGATACCACCGTGTCCCAGCAGCCAGAGCCTCTTTCCGTTTAGCCAAATCGGGATGGATTCAAATGAATGAAATTGCTTAGTAATGATCTCAACAGGGATAGTGGTTTTAGCAATAACACCCGACGGGATCGCCAGGAATTGACTGTGCATTACTCGAGTATACTTATTTCTCTCGGTTCAAGACCCCGTACCGTACGATACAATTGCCCGCACGCCGGCGAAATCTGAAGTGCAGTTTATGGCCGCGAGGGGGGATGTTCGCTTGATGTTTGCGGGGTGTTATCCTGTGATATCATAATAGCAAACATGGCCAACGTTGCGTGAATCATGGAGGGATCAACCTGTGGCTTTCCCGACCGCACACGCGACGATTTCAAGGCTCAGCTTCGGTAACTATAACTTCCACGGCTTGAAGCGAAAAGGCGAGTGATCAAACATGATGGCCAGGTTACTGCGGAGCTATGATACCCTAGTTAGACCATCAGTAGTCTGGTACCCATGCAGTACAGTAATTCTGCACAGCCCCATACTCAAACCTAAACCTGCCACTCTCCCCCGCTGCTCCAATAAACACCCAGGCTAACCACGTCCAGTAAGCAACGGTCTTATAGCTTACACACAGCTAAATGATCAACCCGTGAGATTGGCAACCCAAGAGCAAGGAAACGGCACAGTGCGATACGTACCATTTCCAAGATTTCTGGTCCCACAACCCCCCCACACTTTCCTCCTACGTTAAGTGAGCGCCTCTGGGGCTGACGGTAGGAGTTCTACAATGCATCGCTCTCCAACCGTGGGTTCTCGGCCCCTGCCCCCCCTCGGACCGATGCCTTCAGAGCCTATGAGGTGGCTATCCCGGGGGATGTGCATACGGAGGGGTATAATACGTTTGAAGGGCATATTTGGCTGTTTCTAGGTTTTGAAAAAAAGGGTCTGCGGGTGGCAGCGGAATAGGTGGTCACTGTGAAATCCCGGAACGGATGGCCCTTGAGTAAGGCGATACGTCAGGCTACCGGGGGACCACTTTTGTGCACCCAGCATATCATTCACGCTGTAGTGTGCTTTTGGTGTTTCCGAATGCTTGTAACGCCAAATGTGACTAGTGTTCGTATTGTTGGATGTGGATGTGGATGTAAGAGGAAAGACTTATTCCTCTCCAGCAATGTATACACACATCTGCCCTCCTCTCTTGGTGTACTCCAACCCTACAACATAGCCCCATAATCTTCAGGATAGCCACGGATGCTCACTGCCAACATGCGTGATACTACTCCGCCCTCTTGGCGAGGGTATCCTGCTGCTCTGAGGAGAGCATAAATCTCTATATGTTACGGGAAATGGAATGAAGGACTTCACTACATTACATTCTGAGACGTTGAAGCTACCAAACCCCCCATGCCCTCCTGGCATAGTGGACCACCGGTGGAATATCTATGGGACAAGCATTGCATCCCCACCATCACTGATCCGCGAGTTCTTACTTCAACTAGACCACCTTCACACTACACTTAACCCTTGCTAGACTACGCTGGCTGGCGATCGCCCATACGTTACCGTGCAGGGTTAGCACTACGCTACCGTTTTAGCGAAGTAGCATAATTCATACTATCCCTACCCCCCCTTCCACCCACCCCGGATCTATCTTTTCATTCTGGATTTCTGCATGCAAACTGTGGGTCCTCGTTTCCATAGCCTCCTTTTTTTCCCCAATGCTCAAAGAGCGCACAGAATTTATACTGACGATAGCTCCTCAGCGTTACCCCCGACAAGTAGCGTCACGATCTCATACCCTTTCTCATAGGTTGTCACTCGCGTCAGACCTACCACTAGAGGTCGCTAGGTAACCATACAGAGGCCGACACACCAAAATTGCGAGTTTCCGGGTCACCATTACTCAGCCACCGTGGGTGGAAGTAGTATAGGAAAAAAATTAAAAAGATATACCGTGGCTGTGGTATAATATATATAAATTTCAGGCTTCTATCTAGAGTTCTTACAGAGTTGTGGGTATACGAACTGGGTGAGGTCAGTTGCAATGTATGTTTCCCATAGAAAAACCCTAGTCTTGGCAGATACCTTTTTGGAGAAAACATTCCACATCTCACTACTCTGGGAGAATAGAAGAAAAAAATCCCATACTTTTTTATGTGAGTGTCATTGCATCAAATCGCTTTTTAATTTTTTTTCTTTCCCACACCACCGCCTATGGTGGTTGAGTAAAGGTGGCTCGAGAACTCGTAATTTTGGTGTATTTTGGCCCTAACTTTATATGGTTACCAAACGACTTCAATTGCCAGCAGGCTTATTTTAATATGCTAACTCCCTCCCAGTGCCAATTTGGCTTTTGTGATTTTTATCCTAAGTATATCAACGGGGTTGCTCTTTCATTTGCGCTTCCGACCGAGAGGGTATGATACTTCACCTCATTGTTCCCTTTCGGCCCCCTCCTTCCTGAAATGCCTCTCAGTGGGGCTGGCACGCTCATTCCCCTAGGATTTCAGCCGGCCAATATATCTCCATATCAGATCTGTATTAATTCTACTATGCAAACTATTTGTCATGTCCTCAAGCATGCCCTGCAGGTTATCCAGCATCAAGACCTCTAAACCACTTGTACACCCGGAGGAAAAGAAACACCACTGTGCCTTATCTATGAAAAGTGGAGTCGGATGTCTCCAGATCCATGGCCACCGTGGCGCATAACCGCGCTAAGCGGGTATTTTCTAAGAATCTGGGCACCCTGCCCCTTGGGGAAAGCGGCGTCCTCGATTTACTTGGGAATTGTCGAAGCGCAAGAACCCCAAGCCAATCCGCATTAGGTAGGGGTGTCTGGCGTCTGTCTTTTCCTCTTTTCTCTTGCTTTTTTCTATGTGGAGAATACTTTCCTGCTCTTCTTCCATCCTTAAACTTCATAACATAATGCGCTCTCATGTACGATACCTGAATGCGAGATGTATGAATGGCCTGATTCCTCACCGGTGATCACTAATGCATGGTGACGTCGGGTCGGCGGCGCATAACATTTCCACATCCAGGAACGGGGGAGATAGGACTTGTGACCCCCAAGTACAGGCGCAGTCACTGGAGCGGTCCAAATGGAGTAGATAGTGCTGGTCACAAAATATATGGAAAACAATACAGCGCTTTAACGTTATCGGGGCCAAAGAATCTTTATGCGGCGCTATGGCGCAAACGTAATAACCGCCAGTGTTCGATTCGGGCACCGGTCCGGACAGAGGACCACCCCTCCCCACTGCGAACCCACCCACAGATTCCAATGGTCTCCCGTCCCTCCCCGGAGCCCTTCTGGAGATCTTATCTCTGCTCGTTGGCTCTCTCGAAGGACATTCCGAGGGATGATGACCTAACAATCAGCGCCTACATTCTACAATAACTATTAGACTATATAGCCAATGCAGCTTTATTGCTGCAAACTAACCTGTGCCGATTGTAACATTGGCTGACTGTACAGAGCCACTAGTGGAAGGTACCTATCATAGCCATCAGGTTACTGTAGAACGTATCCGATCTAGAGAAGGCATGCACCACGACAGCCGATACTTCAGCACTTTTATCATTCCATCGAAACTCGGTAGGCGCTGTGCGTTGTCATCCCGTTTACACGGAGCTTCTCGGACCCGCCAAACGGAGGGGTTTACGCATTTCGCCTCCCTACAGACATATTTCTATCGTCCCCAGTCTATACCTTCCGAAACCCACTTTTTATCTTGGCCCGGAAGCTGATAGGAAATTGGCGCGATTACCGGGGACACACTTCTGGGCACTCACCTTCCCGAATTCTTCTTCAAGTTGAAGCTACGAAACCTCAAACCCGTTCCACACATCGATCGCCCACGATGAAAGGCGAAAACATCCAGGCTCCTCCTCCCTTGACACAGTAAGTACTTGAGCCCCGCGAAGAACAATATGTCCAGAAGAGAGGTCACAACGTCAAAGCCAGTTCCTTCACCCCTAAAAATTAAACCCGTTTTCGAACAAATTTATCGGCAGAAATCACCCATTTACAGTGATACGAACCCACTACTACCCCTCATGAAGATTCTCCTCGGTGGAAATGCACAGAACGGAGGACCATTGACGGTGTAACTTTTTCCAGCTCTCGACCGCGACGAGATCTTCCATGGAGGGATGCCTGGTGGGTTTGACTCATTACGCACAAGGCAGTGTGCTTCCCCTAATATAATTGCAATGAAGAAGATATCATACCCCAGCGCATCTATAATGAGATATTCCACTCCAATGGATCCAGGGGGCTACCACAATCCGGAAAATGCGGCAATCCAGAGATGTTGTCCACCAGGTAGGATTCCTAAGCCTTCTACAGGATGTCATGGAGTAGCAGGGCTTGAGGATCTCTCGGCATTAATTGGGTGTATACCTTAAGCCGGAGATAGAACTCCGGAAACTCATAGGACCCGATAATTTTCTGACATTCAGTTCCGAGTGTGGAGAGATGGTAGCTATAGTTGAAGCTGTGTGGCATAACAAGTTATTAATGTGCGACATCCACTCGCAGTTGGAATCGTATGATACTTGGAATCTCTAGCAAGGCACGGAAACAGCCTCGTTTTACAAACACGGCATTAGCCTAGTACCCGGTAGCGAATGCATCCACTTGAATGTCAATTCTCGCTTCACGCACTCCCCCTGTCACTCTAGTCATGGGTAGACCTGGTCGGGCGGAATATATCCGGGACCATCTGCAGCTCTCGTATTGAAAAAGTTTGGGCAGCCCAAATATTAGTAACAAAGGACTGCTCTGGGAGACTGATCTGACTGGTAATATTTTGGTCGCTTCTGGGCTGGGGCTGGGAGATTGAGCGGATGAACATTCCTATGATACCAGTTGGATAGGTACGAATCCAAGACTGTATAACGCCAAGACAAATAGTTTGGCTATTAATCCAGCCAGGAAACATTGGTGCTGTTTTCACAGGTATCATAAACCAAAGCATAATGTTACAAAGGGTGCTTTATGGCCGGACATGGTGGGGCCGAGTGTAGATTGGACACAGCGATAAAGTTGGTGATTGAACCTTCAAACCATGACGGCTATCTAATGATACTGAGATTGAAGGGGAAAAAATTTCTAAATTATCGCTAGGAAACCATACAACCCCACACCTCACACATGCAGTCTGCGCCGTAATGAAAGACGATAGACGGCTATTCGCGATAAGGACACTGAAGCACTCGTAGTATCAGGTCAGATCATTATTTTATGGGGTGTGGTCCACCATAATTTCTCCTCCAACTATCTAACATTCCACTCCTTTTAAACAGGGTTTTCAACCGCTGTATATGAAAGATCAGTGCCTTTAGGGAGCCGTCAACCGGGAATTCAAAAAAAATTACATCACAAGATGTGAAACCAACTCCTCCCAGCAAAGACACAATTCTATATGCCTCGAGGGCGCGTCCAGCAAGTGCTGTATTTAGCTAGCCATGATGAAGCGTGTACTCTGCAACAGCATAGGTTCAAAAGGTCGCTATTGGGAAGCACGGCAGCCGATTAAACTCTAGCGAACCTCAACAACGTAGATCCGGTGTTGCCGTCGAGAACTTGGGATCACAGAGCGGACCAACCGAGCTGATAGCGATAGCCTACCCCTATGCTATGCAGCGAAAGTCAACCCAATTCTCAGCCCATGTTCCACAAAGATTGCGCAGAGGGCCCAGAGAATTATCATACGATCATTGCTTCCGCCAATCTTCACCCCTAATAGCACCGATATCGGCCCCAATACAAATTCAGTGTAGTCGATATGTGGTAATACGCCTGCCACTCACACGCGTTTTGGCTTTTCTTTTTCTTGGTGCGGGGAAGCGACATATCTGAAATGGTCTTACACCCTGTCTCTTCCCGCATCAGACACGCCCAAATCTATACGCAGCCTATTGCACTGGCTCCGATTGAATGGTTGTCCCAGGACAGAAGCACTGGAAAACAGGGATTAATATGAGTATCCGACCACCTATACATAATATAACCCCCTGTTCTCGGGTGTCATACTGTTCTCCTAGCTTGAGACAAGCAAGTCCCGGGATCTTCTTGGGGGGTTGATATCTTGTGTTAAGGTTCCGCACTCTTTCACCATGTACCGTGATAGTATGGGCTCCCATTGGGGGGATGACGGGAATTGAAAGCAAGCGACGGGTTCTGACAGTTTGACAGTGAGTGGGATTCCAATAGGGTTACCCGGAATGCACATTCATATTTCCATAGTGTATGATACATTCTATGACACCCAGCAAACATTCTATTACAGTATGATACTCTCCTGGATGCCCAATACAATGGAGGCATACGGCCACCAGATGGATATATAACTGGAGCTTCTGCTCTCTCGAGCCTGGGCCCGCCCTGCAGCTTCCTCCTCCCAAACTTCAACACAATCTCCTACTACCCCTCTCCAGTACCAAATATCGCTCCTACAAAATGCCTATTCCAGTCGAAAATGTCGGATCTCTCCCACGTCCTCTAATACTTCAGAATATGCTCGCCGCCTACGATAATGGGGAGGTAGGTCAACCCAATGACGGGAAATGGGAGAGAGGAAAAGCATGCTAATTCACACCTTCAGGCAACCTATGAACAACTTGTTGGAGTTCAGGACGAGGCTTGCAAAGATTCGGTTACGCGTATGGAAGCGGTTGGGCAAACTTGTGTCACCGATGGTGAACAGAGAGCCAGTAGTTTCGCTACTTACCCACTCGCCGATACTCTTGGAGGCAGCGGACTCGCCGAAAATTTGGCTTCCGATGGGCAGTACTTGTTCGTTGACCTCTAAAACAGTGTGTGAGTGAATGCTGACGATAGTACAAGCGCCATCTTTGAGGATGGCCACCACCGTCAACTTCCCCGTCTCACGGGTGGCCCCTTTAGATATAAAAACTACGCTGCCGATTTCCTAAAGCTATCCAAGCCGTTTTCCAAGCTCCCCCTCAAGCAAGCTGTGATCGCGCCAAGCATGTTGTATCTGCTCTACCCTCTCGAGGGAAGCATTGAGGGATACCCCCGTGAGCAATTCCTTGACGATCTCGTCAACGAGTGCGAGAAGGATATCCGCAAATGTTTTGAAGCTGGTGCCGTCAGGGTCTCTATCGATTTTACCGAAGGTACGTACGCCCAGCGCATCCGCAGTGATAGTGTCTGACAAAGGCAAAACAGGTCGTCTTGCATTGAAGAACGATCCTTCCAACCCATGGACTGGCCGCGGACTCTTGGATACCTTTGTCGACCTCAACAACCGTGTCCTCGACCGTTTCTCCTCGGAGGAGCGCAAGAATATCGGCATCCACACTTGCCCCGGTGGTGACTGCGATTCAGTGCATAGCATGGATGTCGACTATACCGATCTGTAAGACACCCCCCCACATAGCATAAGAAATTTGCACCACACTAAGATTCCAAAAGCTTCCCGAGCCTCTTCAAGATCAACGCAGGTTACTTCCTAGTCCAGTGCGCCAGTGAGCCCGATAAGGAAAAGGTCTACAAACTCTGTGGAAATCATTCCCGCGATGACCAGGTTGTCTTTATCGGAGTCATCAATCCCCTCAATCCCGATCTCGAGACTGCCGAGGAAGTCTGCGAAGCGTTGGTCGCCGCTGCAAAGCACATTCCGAAGCATCGCCTCGGCGCTACCGATGACTGCGGATTTAGTCCTTTCAGCACCGACCTAAAGCCCAAACACGGAGGCCCCGACATCGCTAGAGATCTGGCGTTTAAGAAGATGAGGGCTCGGTGCGATGGAGCTAAGATGGCTAGCGCCAAATTGGGTATTTAAATTCCTGCTCGTCTCAGGGTCAGAATGGTTGTGGTGAGGGCTTCATGCTTGATTGTTTATGTATTCCTTTTATGGTTTTCTAGGTTTCCAACCTCTATGTCATTATTATTCTTATTATCGTGAATTTCCGGTGATATCTGATAGCGAATGGCCCATAGTAGAAGAGAAAATCCCTTGACGTAGAGAAAGTGTGGAGGGTGTACGTGCGGCCAAAGTACGCACCCGTTGGGCGAGGGCCCGAGTAGCTCTCTCCCTTAATCACACTATTGATATTTCTATCGTAATCACTTCATCAGTGCCGGCACCCAAAATGTGGAATCTGCCATGGCTTTGAGACTCTCATGGGCGGACCATATCAAATCACTCGTGCAGAGTGTTGAGTTTAGTGCTTATCCGTCAAACAGACTGGTTTCCTTTTTGGTTAGTTTATCCTAGTACTTTCCTCACCACTCTCTTCAACGTTAGTTACTATTTGAGTTTTTCTTCATTTCTTCCCTATTCGTTTCACAACCGCACAACCATGCCATATTCAACTATGGTATTCCGACAGAGAGCCCACACCATGGGTATAACCCTATCCAAGCAGAGCCAAGGGGTTGGCCGACAAAGATGCCAGCCATGCAGGCCCCGACCCCGGGTTCCAAACCCGGAGTAGACTTACAGGAGAGCAGATAAGCATAATTAATCTCCCAGCCAATAAATTCGCTCCATCACTCGCATCGCCCATAGATTAGTTCAAAAGGTGAAAAAAAAATCTTTGCCGCCGCACAACACCATCAAGATCCAAACCCACTCCCCACGAACCCGATACGCGCCAACCCACCACTCCGAGAGCAAAGCAACCAAGAGGAAATCCCCAAAACCCGCATTTCCGAACTCGACCTGCCTCCGGACGACGAGCTGGCGATTTCACGGCCTATACTATGCAACCGACATAATATAATACACTCCGAAAGGGCAGATGAAAATCCCCCCGAGCTGATTCAACACCGTACAATCCGATTTTCCCAATACGAGAGAAAACCCTCCCGGCCCGCTTAGAGATGGCCCTCCGTCCGATTATCCGAGACAACCAAAACCCCCACGCCGGGACACACAATGTGTGAAGATTGACGGTCAGGTCGGCGTAGTGCAGTAAGCCGCCGGAGGAGAAAAACATGGACGCGAGCCCCCCACGTGTCCATTATACCCCGAGGGGGCGAACCGAAATCCCAGCTAGGGGCGGATCGGATTGGTATCATAACTCCATCCTGTGGGTTGGCAATCATGGTCCCACACCGAAATTTGCCCAATCCGCGACAATCATCTGTAAACGAATCACCTTCATATGCATCATGGAGTCTACAAAGTATTCCTGAACTTTTGGTCCCCAGATATGGCCCCCTTTTCAATATCCGTCCTATCCAAGACCTCATCCTCCCTCCTTGCCAGAAACCACCACCTTCCCACAACAAACACACTACGCCCTGCTCCTCCACAAGTGTGCCCAGGTTAGTGCTCCGCTGGGAGATACTCAAGCCGCATGCTGCAAGGTGGCGATGGGGAGTATGTGCAAGTCGATTTTCCATAGTACGTGCTTGCTCACTCTTGCCGATCCACAGGGGGCCATATGTCAAGGTGGGGGGGCAAGTCCCCGGTACCGGGTGGGGCATACACTTCCGTCTCCCCCCTCATTCTTGGTGGATAAGGGGGATAAGGGGGTAAGTTTGAGGAGGATATGCGGCAGTTTAAATTAAATAGAACTCGTGTTTCTCTCAAACACACACACACTCTCTCTGGCGCTTGCTTGCTTTCTCCTTTTCTTGTATCACAGCCGGGCCAAAAAGGGATTTTCAAGTTCATGATAAATAGGGATTGGCTAACTCTCTTAGATTATCATCATCATCCCTCCCTCCACTACTTAAACAGAGCACAAGGCTATTGGCGGAACATATGGGCTAACCTAGCTTCATCCAGCTTTGCCTCCCTCCCGCACACACACAAAAAACATTTTCCCCAGACCAGGGGACCCCGATGCATCGGGCCGATGCGGTGGGAACTTCCGATATCATACTTTATTCAAAATGGGGCTTGTATTTTCCGCCCAAGGGTGACAACCAATGCCACGACATTCCAAGTAGGGGCTTCAGTGAGATGCGGCTGGGACAGTCGTTTGATGTCTCGAGAGTCCCTCTCTCCCCCATGCAGGACGTCACCGACACCATAGTCTACAGAAGCAACAAAGGATGATCACGAATGGGCAGGCGAATCCGACAATACTCGAGTGACCCACAATGCATCACTCGAAGAGAAGAAGGTATGATAACGGTAGGGTTAGTGCATTACTTTTCACAATAACAATAATTATCATGTCGGCTCCCGCAGCAGCCGGATATCGATTCCACTTCCGGACCCTCCCTACCCTTGGTCTAACGCAGGGATTATCCACCTTACCGGTCCTTACATCATTATCAAAGTTTGCCTTTCGGGCCTTCACGAAAACCTCCCTGCCCTTCCCGTTGTTGGGAAAGTTTCCTTCATCCCACTAATTCCGAGCTGGATAGCAGCATACCATAGCGAGCTTTACCATTCCACTCCTCTGGTTCCATGGTCTCATAGCGGTCACCTACCTTCCCCATACCCAACCGTGTAATAACAGAACCTGTTCGGGCAAACCAATCCTTGCTATCCCCGTAACATGACTAACGCCATCAGTTACTGCCTTCTTCCTTCAGGACGGTCTACAAACCCACGTCTCCAGAATCAGCTCCTGAGAGTTAGAACTTGCACTACCAACTGCTCGGAATCATCGACAGGGGCCGGGGGAGAAAGGAATGTCACGCCATACGTCTTGCTTTAAGGTAGGAATTCCAGGATCCGCAGGTATGACACTCCCGCCCGGGCAAACTCAAACCTTCAACTTCCCCCCCCCCCCCCCTACGCCGGTGTATCCGCCCGTGGACGGACAGTGTAAATCCCACCATACAAAAGTCCCTAGCTACAGTAGTAGAAAATCCGATCCACCCAGTCCCGTCTACTCGTCACCGGTGGCGGGCGGTAAGGAGTCTCACATTATAATAGTTTGGTGCGGGGGGGTGCGTGCTCCTAGAGCGATGATCTGTGAGGCATATTATGATATTAGAGTAAATGCATGGACCACACGTCCACACTCAAGCTTTGGAATGGTGAAAATGTGCTCAGACTCTTTCCTTTCCTTTCCTTCCTTCCTTCCTTCCTTGGCCCTGGGGATATGGCGGTTGGTATCCGGTACCTCGAGACCGCAACCACAATTTGGCCCATCGGGCATCTAGCAATGGTACGGTATGGTGTCATACTGTAGGATAGTACCGTCCTTGGCAACACCCCCGAAACGACTTTCACCTCCAGAGGACGGACGGACGGACGGACAGACAGACGGATAGACAAACTGTACCGTACGGTTAAAGAAATTACAACCAAAAAAAATACTCCGCAGAAGAAGAAAAGTGTCAGCCCATCCACCGCGGCATTAGCAAAAAAAAACACACAACTTCCTCCAGTTCCTCAAGTTCCCGTCTTTTCAAAAAGAAGAAAAAAAAAAGAAAAGAAAAAAAAGGTGCCATGCGGTACGGTACTGTACTGTACGATACAGCATCGCTTCTGGCATACCAGCGCGCATCCGGATAAATTCCGAGCGGGATATAGTATTGTAACCTACTCCCACACACTCGTAAGCTAGTCAGTTAACCCCGCGACTTGGGGAACCACAGCAAAGAGTAGTGTAAATTCAGTACGCACAGTACAGTACCGTTCATTGCTTATCTGGGGAAATCTATTTATTTATTCACTTATTCATTTCAACTTGTGTAGTGTATCCAGGCTTCAAGCGGTTGCGAGAACGCGACGTACTAGTACTTGTACGATACCGGGATGATAGTAAATCTACTTGGATTAATTAATTAATTACCGTAGCTTACAGTATAATTAGTAGTATGCAGTACGCTGGTCGATAGCGCATAAGTTGGCTTCTTTCTTTCTGTTTCTGTATTAACTTATAACAGAGGTGGGTAAGTTATGTCTAGAATATTATGCCAATGGAAGGAAAAGACAGTAAAAAGAAGAAAAACACCGCGAGGTAACCGACCCCTTTCAGCGCAGGATAGTAGAGAAAGATAGACAGACAGACAGACCCGTCAAGGAGTTCAATCCATTTTACTGAAAAGTGGACATACTTGCTATTTACTAGTACCATGGCAGCACAGGCGAATGCTTTCCCTCCCCCCAAGCGGGAGATAACCCACCCATCCGATTAGTAAAAATAAAAATAAAAATAAAAATAAAACTTCCCGTACGGTAGCTTCTCTGCCCTACTAATTGTCCATAAATTACGGTACCAGACACCCAACCTAACTTATAATACACCCAAGTCTTGACGCTCACCATTGCCAACCACCCGTAAATCGCAATATCATCCAAATCGACGGGGAGTTAGTTAGTCGCCATTTGGCACTGACTGACTCAAAAGTTAACCGCGAAAAAAGGGAATAAGTTGCAGTCAGACGTTAAGTTACTCGCTCACTCACTCACCTATACTTGCCGTTTTCAAAAGTATCCGGATGTCGGGTTTAGCTTGGCATTTATCTGTCCTTTCGCTTAACAGAAAGGATCGATAAGAATACCCAAGGAGAAAAAAATTCAAAAATCAATACAGGTGCTTGAGGAGTGCTGTTAGGTTTCTTAGTGCTTTTTTTTTTTTTTAATTCACTCTCTGCTCAATATGGGCACATAATACAGTGGATAGTGTAGTTTTTTCTGCTGCCAAGCCAATCTCCTGGGATCCGGATACTTCTGAAAACGGCAAGTACCTAAATTACTATACTATACGAGTACTAGTACCTTTCCAACGCTCGATAATTACTTGGACTATGATATGATACGGTGGGTCCCTCTTTTGCTATGTTGGGGCCGTGCATATATGCCTTTTCGCTTTCCTGGGTCTTTCTCAAGGTGTGCGTGGACGGCTTACTCTTTCTCACGGAAAGGCCGATGATGGTGCTGTAATTGTGGTAGGGGGTTGGTGTGATGGATGGCACCACTCCGAGTGACGTTTCGGGTGAATATACTTGGTCCTTTATAAAGTATTCGGGCGCTTGGCAAATAGACGGGTACCGGTACTGTACTATGTACTTTTCTTGTGCCAACAAAATCAGTGTCCAGACACCTTACTCGAGTATGAATGGTCAAGTATCAGACTGTAAACCTACCACCCGGACTTCCTTACGAAACCTCAAGACAAAGACAAATACGAAAGCTAAAAGCCGCCAGAATGGAATTCCGCCCCGGCGCTTGGCAATTTCGGCATCACTGTCATCTACCGTAATCCTGAAAATACACCTCCGGCAAGTTTGATCCGTGAAAAAGAAGAAAATCCAGGCCAGTCACAAACCAACAACGTAAGCGAACACAATTTACAGTATCAATTCAAAGATCAAAAAAGAGGGCCAATATCGACCCTAGCCTCCTCATCTCCTCTCGATATACCGATTCACCGCCACAAATACCGCCCCAAAAAGAATCCCCACAAAATATTCAACTCGAGATATCTCCGAGCAAGCACACCCCCGCTAATAGCCACCACCGAACAATATAGTATTTATATATAAAAAGGCGAACACAACTACAGCCTACGATCCAGGATGTGAACGCAAAGAACGAGGAAAGGGGTGCCAGAAAACGAAGAAAACCACCAGCCCAACCAACCAACCGAAACGAAAGAATGAAGACGAAAAAGGGGATGGGAAAAGGTCAAAACTTTATGCAGGAGAAGTAACAAAATACAGGTCCTCCGGGAGTCCATGTGAGTATATACCCCTAGATAGGGTGCACCACATGTTCACCCGAGACGAGAAAACCCCTGAGAATAGACAAAAGTAAGAAAAACCGATAGCTCGTCACTCCCAACATATCCATATATCCATCCATCCGTGCGCCCGTCCATACCCCAATAAGCCACAAAATATGGGTGAGCGAGAACAATCGGGAGGGACAAAGTTATTGATTTGAAATTAAACAAAACCACTTATGTAAAAATGATAAAATGATAAAAAGGAAAAAAGAAAAAAAAAGACTAGTTTGAAAAAAAAAAAGGAAATCAACTTGGGAAATGATCAGACGCTAAGAAGAAAATCCCTTTCTCATGATTCCCCCGTTCCATGTCTCCAACAGCCATTCCCTCTTCCTATTCCCCAATGCTACTCCCTATCAATCAATACCCGCGACCCGATGAGGGATGATATGGCGAGCCCCGATACTCATCATACCCTCCCTGACTATCATTTCTCCCGTGTGCGAGTGGCATTGGCGCCGCCGAACCCATCAGCCCTTGTCTATCAGTAGAAGAGCTCACGCTCCTGTTGTGAGAGAATCGATTCTGCGGTGGGGGTGCAGGGGTCATGTGATGCAGGGGGTAGTCTGTTCGCCCACTAGCATCATTCAACAGAAAATCGTCCCGCGCCGGAGCAGCAGAGTAGCGCCCCTTGCCGTCAGGGCCATGTCCAACCGGCGCACCAATCATTGAGTGACGAGGACCCAACGGTGTCAAAATGTCAGCTTCACGCTGCTTCTCAAGCTCCTTGCGTCTCTTGGTGTGTGGGTTCTGCTTGCACATGACGATAATAGCGTTGATGGCAATACAGATGGCGAGGACAGCAGTAAGAACCGACTGAATAACGATAAGGGCGACACCTAGGACCGAGATCAGCAACACGAATATCAGAGAAAGGAAAAGAAGAACCCCATACCAGTAACAGTCTTGGTGTCCGCTGCAATGCCCAATTCCTCAACAAAGACGATAAGGCAAACAACAGACAAGACACGAACAACCGAGATTATCGTGTTGAGAACATTTCCAGCCTTGGAGTTATATGGCCTATTCCAAAGCAACAAAACCAAAAGAATAACCTCGCAACCCAACTGACCAACAGTCTGGACAAGCCCATGACCGTCACCAAGAGCGATGAAAGCACCCTTAGCAAAAGCATAAACGATCAAGGGCAAGAAAATCCACCAAAAGTCAGTCTTGAACTGATCGTAGAACAATCCATAGCGACGCATGTACGGCTTGTGTGCAAACAGCTTGTCATGGGGCTTGTGCTCCCCATCACCTTTCAATGCGGCAGCCTCATTCTCATCATCGATCGCCTTCTGGCGACGAGCAAGAATAAAAATACGGACGGCGAAGAAGCCCAAGACAGCCGTGAAAACAGTGAGAGTAACCCCAGCGAGAACATGAGCGCCCCATGAGTCACCATTCTTAAACTGGTAGAAACAGTACAGAGTCCAGGTTCCATAAAGTACCAATACCTGCGCATCAGTTAGCCAATAAATCTCAACGGAAAGCATCCCGCCTAGTAACCTACCAGTCTAACAATGGTTGTTGCCAGGAAACCCCAGTATCTCTTGCGGAACCCGGTCAATGCCTTCGGAAAACTGGCAAACAACGACCAAGCTTCTAGGATAACCTTGAATAACAGGATGCAGACAGCGATAGCAGCAATGACGATGGCGAAGATCAACAGGACAGTCATGAAAGTATTGGCCGAGGGAATTTGCAACTTTTCAACATACGCCTGGACACCCTCCACATAGTGCATAACCTTGGCCTGAGCATCATCAGTCGAGGTAGAATTGGTGCCGTTGCCAGCAATCGTTGTCCCATTCACTTCAACCGCACGCTCAAAGACCTGAGCCACAGTCCAATCCAACGCACGGCGAGATTTACTGCCGGCGGTCGTATTGCCAGATTCGGTACTACTCTCGCCACTGTATACCAAGGTAGCGTTCATCAGAAAATCGATCGAGTTCTTCTCCAAATGACCTCCGGTAGCCTTCCTGAAACCGTCGATAGACCTCTGCATGCCCTCCCACGGAATAATACCGGTACTCCAACCAAAGTTGCTGACAAACGACCGATAAACGGGAGGATAGTCGACAGAGAGCATCCCATTCATTGCAACATTTTGAAACCAGAGCATGACGTCTCCAAAGTTTGGTGACGGACCCGCCCCTGAACCGGCGCCGGCAGCGCCAAGAGCCGATACCCCCGAAAGAACCAACGCAGCAGCGGCAATACCAGCCGTAACATACTGAACACTAGGCTGATTCGCAGTTTTCCCATTTTGCACCACAGACTGAAGACACGCGAGTTGTTTGTCGTCCTCGCTGGATCTCAATTCCAACTTTGCCATACCATCCAGATCGGGAATCTGGAAAGCGATCGCCGGAATCATCGAAGCGAACTCGGGGGGGATATCCAGTTTATCCTTGGCAGCAAACGTTCCTTTGGGCACTAAAACAACCATCAGCAACCTCATCCAGTCGAAGCAAAAAAAAAAAAAAAAAAAAAAAAAACAAAACGACGTGAAATGATCCAGAGCAACAACATACAAGGACATAGCTGAGTGATCCCCTGAACGCAGGGATCAATTGTCTTCTCATAAACCTTCCTCCCATAGGCCGTCACGGTCAAGACAGCCTTCACCTTTTGCTCCCTTGTGGAGGAGCCAGCCAAATCGAAGGTCACGAAGCCATTTGCCTTGTCGTACTTGACGTTCATCTTATCCACCTTGATATCGCCAGTCGCGAGACATGTTGAGAACCCATTAGTTTCGAGCACATCGGTAGCCTGAACCGGCAGAGCTCCGAGTGTAGAGAACAGGAGAAATGCAGATATTAATGACGACGGCGATTTAGATGCGTTTGATGTCGAAGGGGCGGATCCGCCTGGGAAAAGATTTCGTAATAACATCGGGATCGTGTCTAAGTTGTGAATAAACGGGAAAGAAAAGGAAAAAAAAAAAAAGGAGGTAAAGGAAAGAAGGAGGAAAATAAAATAAAACAGGAGACCAAGCAGTGCGATTCCCGAGTCTCGAGGGCTCCTCCTTCGTGTGTTGCAGCTGCAGGACCTCGATTCCACTGGTCCAAGGGAGACCGCGTTGAATACGGTACTCGATGGCGGGTTACAATGGACCCTTGGAATGTAGGGGGTGGTGGTTTGGGTAGCTAGCGTGTGAACGGTTACCAAGCAAACACACGAACAACCCTGAAACGACGCAAATGAGCACCGGGAGATATTGCGGTCCGAGAGCAAAGGGCAGCAGAAGAGAGGGCAATAAAAGATGCAGTAGTGGTGTAAAACAGTGAAGAGGTTGAGCGAGAGTACGAGAAGGAGAAGGATAGAGCGAGAGGAAGCACTTCACAGAAGAGGATGCAATGCAGTACGAGGAGAACTTGCTAGTCCGAGAGAGTGTGAGAGTGACAACAGAAAAAAATAGAAAAAAACACGAAACAGAGAGAGAGAGAGAGGGAGGGAGGAGGGGGGGAAGAGGGGAGGGGAATTGACGGTTAGACGATGATGTTGAGCGGGGGTACCGGTAAACGAGGTGAGGTGGAAGGGGAGAAGAAGGAAAGAAAGGAAGGGGGGAGGAGGAAGGAGGGAAAAGGGAGAGTTGGATGGATGGGTGAAGCAGGAGGGCAGGCAGGAACAAAGCGGCAACAAATCATCCAATCCTGGCAACACATAGAATCTCTCCCCTCGCCGTCTGCGCTGTCTGACGGGGCAGGGAGGAGACTCGGCTCTCTGGTTGGGCAAAACCGCGTGTGGGAGCCCTCACAAACTTCCAAAGGTGGAAGAAGAGCAGATTTGGTGCCTGACAGCAGCGGACAAGGTCTTTCCCCCGTTTCCCTCTGAACCGCCCCCCTGCGGAGAGTTAAAACGGGAATGGAGGATCTTCCCTCGCAAATGGAATGGGGATAAAAATAAAGAATCAAGACAAAAGAAGGCGACTCGACGAAGAGAAAGAATTATGGTACGGCAGCGGCAGACGGCCGTATCGTGAACCGGTAGGATACAGTAACTGGGCGACGCTGCCCGTCCTACCCTAGGCAAAAGTCTACGACTCTACGAGGTTGCAAGGCAAGTGCTGGAAAAGGGAGATTCAGGGGCGGTTGTGAGCAAGCCAGGAGGAAGGGCATCTGCTCCCAACGGGGATGGCGCTCTCAACCAAACGAAACGAGAGGAAAAAATTAAAAAGGGGAAAAAGCAAACAAAGGCACCACAGAGCCCACCCACCATACCCGGACCAAGCGCACACGGACTCCGCCGCCGCCACGGCGGGTTGTCGACTCCTGATTGCGTGAAATCTACTCGCACTCCCACCGGGACCGCCGTTGACGCTCGACGAGCCCCATCTATCATCCAAAAAAGCTTGTCACATCACCACCATCACCGCAGCATCCCCTATCAGCGCTCGCCTCGTGATTGAACGAGAGTGAACCTGCAGCCCCAACCGACAGGCCACTCAAACAGACAAAGCAAAAAACGCCCGCCATGGAGCACATACCGTACAGCATATCTGCACCACCACCACCCCGTGGGACCCGATCCGTCAGGCACGCTGAAAGCCCCCTCGATGCACACACCGGTAGCAAAGCACAACGAAAGAGGAAGAAGAAAAAGAAACCACAGTCAGAAAACACTCAAAAAAAATCATAAAACCCCTACATATTGTTCATCCTACAACTAATCTCGCACATCTCGGCAAACCCATCCACTGGAGTACCGTACCCTATCCAACCATCCATTCCCCCCCCCATGAGACTCTCGCGGCCCCATCCACCCCTCCTCCTGAAACAACCGAACCCGACAATACCGCTACCCCCTCTTCCTGCTACGACCCCAGTGCCGGTACTGTAGCGTAGGTACTGCACTCACAAACAACCTAAAGCGAACATTTCACTGGACTGGACCGAGAAAACAAAAAGCACGCCCGCCCGAATGTCTGGAGGTTCTCTCGTCTCTTTGTCCCTGGGTTTCGGGGGGCTCTTCTTCCAGAAGTGGATGTCTCTGCTTCCGTAAACGCTTCAATCTACGAGTATTATCTATCTAGCCTCTCTCCCGGCTGCACAAGCCCAACCCTGCCCGGGAGCCAAGTCATTCAAACAAACAAACGGCAAAAAAGAAAATATAAAAAAGGCTATTTTTGTACGGCACAGCCACAATGTCGTACTCGAGTCCATCCTGCAGTGTGGAATTGAGCAAACTAGGCAGGTGTCGGTACCGTACTGGTATCATGGGCTGTCCCTCTCACGAGAAGAAAAGCAAAGAGGAATGGAAAAAAAAACGCGACCGCCCAGAAGCACTTGTACAAGCGCAGTACCGGTACTTTCGCACTATAAGTAGAAAAAAATTTAGACGACTCGCTGCGCCGCCGTTAAGGATCTGCCCTCGTGCCCGTCAGACGGTACCGGGTACGGCGTTAGTACACTACGAGTACCGTACTGAACAGCACAGCACATCCGCAAGGTACCGACCCCACGCCATAACCGATGCAGATTTGCCCAGCAGGATTGGCGCAATACTAACGGTACGGGCACAAATATTACTGTACACATATGGTAGGTTAAACTTCACTTGTGAAGATCGCAGCCAATTCATCACCTTCCCATCCACCCGTCCCACAGCGCCGTCGCAATAAAGTTATCACAGTAAGGCAAACTCTAGACTAATACCGTAGCGTCAAACTCTGCCCTCTCTCTCTTCCTCGCTTGCAGTTCACAAAGATCTGAGGGAAGACACTAGTAAGTCAGACATGCTGGCTGGATGGTGGGCATGACACAATACCTCCTCACGTACTAGCCTACAGAAGCTTAGCTGGCTCACGTGACCTACCACGCTGTCCCTATTGGTCGCGATGCATCCCTGTGATCCAGTCATAGGTCATCACTCGGAATGCATCTCTTGTGATGTGTGCGTGCATATGAATGGGTGGGCGCATGAGCAGTGCATCAGAGGTGGGGGGGGGGGGGATCAATGTAGAGATTGGATGGTCGCGGGGCTCCAGGTAGCTTCGTGGCTGCACTATAGCGCCACGGTACTCGAGTAACTTGGTACGGTATCCGCTAGAGGTGTCATGCGATGCCATGTCTTGTCTGTTCAGTGTGGTCCTGTCGGCGGGCCCGGTGGATGTTTATACCGTCTCGGGAACGAGGATTTGGGTGTCATATCACTGTACAGTAGCAGCCCGATCGGCTCCGAGAGGAGGACAGTGCTACTCCGAGGCCTTTTTTTTTTATGTGTACTCGAGTATGCGGGTCTCGTGGACTTGACGCCCTTCGTTTCTAGCTAAATGCTATTGTACGGTACTAGCACTGGTACGGCAATTTTTGTCGTTTCTTCTATTTATTTATTTTCGCGCGCGGGGTTGTGTGATTTTGGATGTCCTGTCTTGGGCCTTGAGATCTAGACTCGTGCACATCGCTGCATATTGTTGAGGCTGCGAATGATGGTCGGAAGTTTTTTTCTCTTTGGGAAACGGTGGCTATGCGTGGGGTGCCATACCGGTACAGTACCATATGGCACATGCACTATCCATACTACCGGTAGTACACCCGGTGGGGACCGTGGGGGGGTATATCTTGGACCGCGGAAGGCCTAAAAATTTAATGGTCGTGGTTTTCGGGGGGGTTTTTTTTTCGGCCTGGGTTGAGCGTCGACCTACAACCCCCGTCCAATATCGTAACTTGCTCCGGTATGATACTGTAGTGTGCAGAAGTAATTTACGAGTATCAGATGATCGGGCAAGATGTTTTCGCACAGAGCCTGGATAATTTTTCTGATTAGCTAGCGTATCCCCCCTATCTTGTAGGAAAACACCTTGTCTGGTATACGGTGAGATGCTCGTACCAGAGTACTGCTACTAATGATGGATGATATGGTGCTATTGTACCGGGCGACTCCAATGAGGTTTCTATTCGCACAGCATCTTGGCAGTACCACAATATCCTACTTTACCGGCTATTCTCACTTGCACTGTCTCGACGAACGTCGACCATTTTGATTGGGCCGCCTTGGCCTGTTGTCATTTTATTTACAATACCTTCAGAGATGAGGTTCTTTCTTTCTTTTTCCTTTTCCTCTTCGAAGGCGTAGCCTGGTGCGGAGGCCCCCCTTCGAAACCCAAGGAAGATGGGGGGTATTTCACTACCCTAATAGGTACGAACAGCCCCCCCCCCCTCGCTGGTATTATCATCTACCCACTGCTCTTGGAACCAACCCCCCGCGAAATGTGGGGAATGCGTCGTTCGTAGCGTTGCGGGTATGCATTTCCCACTAGGAGTACCGGCATGGCAGGAATCGAGAGTTCATCGAAGCCTCGTTTGTTGCTGCGGAGGGGCTACGGCGACCGTGGTTCGCACTGCTTTAGCGTCTATGCAATCAGTCGGCCTGATGTCTCGGCCAGTGCGAGTAGCCCCATAGGGTAATCATTTGAGGCCGCGATATGAATAGCCTTTTTTTTTTTCCTTTCCTTTCATTTACTGCCCGGAAGGATAATGTTTCCTTGAGAGGGCTGTATTTCCAAGGCAGCAAGCACTGTACAGCACGAGTAGCTGGGAAATGAAAGGCCTTCTCCGGGCAGAAGCGGGTCTTTGTGGCATGTGCATATGGTGTGGTGTGGCGGTGGGCGATGGGTCTTTTTTTTTTTTTGCTAGCTATTAGTATGATAGCGGAAGAGTTATGGGGGAAAGAGCAGTGGGGAATAGCTGTTGTTTGTGCCGAAAGGAGAAAACATCTCGTTTCATTCCCAATGTCCTTGGGAGGCTTTTCTTTTAGCTAAATTTTTTTCAAGTGCTGCTGGTACGCTTAGTTAAGCTCAGCCGTAAAGGTCCCGTGTAAGGAAAGCCGCATTAGCGAGATAAACTAGATTCAAGTGTCGAAATGTTCTCCATCATGTATCCCTAAGAGCGTTAGCGAGGGGGAAGAGAGACGAGTGATTGACTATGGAAATATATTCAGGGGGGTTTTGAGCTTGTTGCGGAGCTACCATACTGTACAATGTTAGCGGGGAGAACCAGGGACCCCGAGTCTAGAAGTTGCGTCAACGAATTCCACGGCATCGCCAGCCATACGCAGATTTGACAAAGACGGGTACGGTACCATGCTGTACAGTACTAGTACAACAGATTACATAGGCTCCGGTCGGAATTGTATAATAATAATAACAATGGCTGCATGGCCCGGTAGTCGTGGAATACCGTACGGCACCTCGATTTATCCCCCGGAGTGGTGAAGGTGACAAATTTCGATACGGTACTTATATTTTATAAATAAATATCCGCTAGCGATCGATATTCGGGTTGAACAGATATGATACTGCAGAAGGTTATCATCTCGGTTCGATTCAAAATTTTATCGGCCGGGCGAGAGGGCATCGTCGATCCGGCATACGCCCCGGACGGCATTGCGGCAGGGGCAGGCTAGCCCACTCCCGCCTACCGTATCCCGCAGCGCATCTGGAGATTATTGGTACTCGAGTACCGTACTGTACTACCGCGCGCGCCCAGTAACATAAAGCCTGGCCTAGAATAGCAGAATATCAGCTGGGCTGGGGGCCGGCTGGCCTCAGATTAGGCTAGGGGAAATCTGATTTTCCCCTTATTCACTGGGTTCTCTATGATAGACTCGCTATGACAGCCTGCGTGTTTCTGGGCTTCGGGGGGAATTAGGTATGATACTCTCATCGCTGCAGACGATTTTTTTTTGATCTCACGTGAAGGCTTGGCGTGGTGCAGGTCTGTGATGCCTTGAGAAAGAACAGAAAAAGAGCAAAAACACAATGGTGAGTTGCGCAGATACAGCTCCACCAGAACGAGTGGCGACTACCGTACGTAGTCCTTGGAGGGAGAGTACGAAATACTTGGGACGTTCCGGGACTAGGTGTCCATCATCGGGTTTTATCCAGAGTCACTACCGCCGAGTACGCTTGGAGCTACGAATATATAGTGTGGGGCTGTTCTAGCACATTGCACGACAGAATTCTCCAGCTAGCTTTCTGTACGGTATTCCTCGAGCGCGTATGCTTCAGCACTGGCATCGGGTTGCACCGGTGACAGGTACGCGACATACTAGGCAAAAGGCC